TCGATGAAGGTCCACTGCTTTGACCGCATCACTAACGACCCACGTCTTGAATCCTTCCTTTTGCGCATCGATGGCAGTATATTTCACACAATAGTCGGCTGCCAAGCCTACGACATAGACATCGGTGATGCCAGCCATGCGCAATGTCTCTGCCAGGTTGCTCTTAGCTACACATGGACTCTTGAACGGATCCGCAAAGGCCGAGTACATCTCGACGCGCTTATCCTGCCCCTTCTCCACTATGCGATCCACCTTACTAACCAACAGCTCTGGCAGCAGCTCTGCACCCTTAGTACCTTGAATGCAGTGGTCCGGCCATAGGCGCGTTTCCTGCGTCTCCTCTGGGTTATGCGGGTTCTTGATTGTGACTGTGGACTCGAATGGCTTATTGTTCGGCGCTGTGTGGTTGGACGCGAAGGAAATGTGGTCTCGGGGATGGTAGTCTTTGGTCGCGACTTTGAGTGCAAACGGGTATTCGAGGAACTCGTTGATAGTCGGTACGATATCGCGACCACCCGTCACTGCCAGTGCTCCGTCCTGGGCTGTTAGCAAGTGCCGGAAATAAGGAAAGAGCAACTCACAGGCGGGCAAAAGTCTTCTTGCATGTCCACGACTACGAGTGCTGGCTTGAAGGACATTGTCGGTTGTTGGTCAAGAAGATGTATTCCGTGTATTGTTGTGGTCAAGGCTGTGTCTGACAGGAGATAAGAGCTTCATGGCCGCCCGCACTCCGGTAAGGTGACCCAGGGGCGGTTCTGTCACCATCCATTAGTGTCTAAGATCGAGGCAGCGTACCTAGGTGGCCATCCCGCTTGGAGATGTACAATAGCTGTCCATGATCGAGCTACTCATTGCAAGATGCGATCACTCATCACTTCTGCACTTCACCTATTTGACATGGCGCATCAAGCACTTGTCTTTGTCAGTTTTGCCCCTTATTTTACAGAAGAGACTGCGAGCAAATCCCATGTAGACCAACATGGGCAAGGCTGAGAGACCCAGCGTTCTCAGCGACCTCGGGAGCGTTGACTTACCTAATCATAACGCCAAGGCCCAAGAACTCGAATGATCCGACGTCAATTCACGACCACGGACTCACAAGCTCGATAGCCACGCCTACCCTCTCCACTCCACCCCAATTGCTCTCGCCATGTTCCTCCAGCGATCTGCCATTGCCGTTGCAAGGCGAGCGGCCCCCCGCGTCCTTGCGCAACGCACCTTTACCACGTCCTTTGTCCACCGTAGGTCTCGCTAGGAAGCTGTTCGCACGAAGTACCATTGACACCAATGCAGGCGATGCCAGCAGTGAAGCCAAGGAAGCCAAAGAGAACAACATTGCACAAAAAGAAACTGGACACTCAGCCGACTCTCCCAGTGTTCTCGCGGGATTCAAGAAGCTCGATGGTATGTTGCGCCTGCAGCCGCCGTTAGCGCGTTGTGAGGGGTTCAATTGCTGACGAGGGCGACTTCAGAGATCAAGAGCGAGGCCGACCTGCTTCCCCCGGGTGCGAAGCCCGGTACCGTTCCCACCGATGCTGAACAGGCTACCGGTCTCGAGCGTTTGGAAATCCTCGGAAAGATGCAGGGTATCGACATCTTCGACATGAGGCCGTTGGACGCCAGCCGTCTCGGTACGTGGAGCCGCATCGCCGATGGGGGAGATAATCAGCTGGCGTGAATATTGGGCTGTGCATAATGTGATGCTAATGGATTACAGGCACCATGGAAGACCCAATTACCGTCACGCGGCCGGAGACGAGCAATACGTTGGATGCACTGGCTTCCCTGCCGACTCCCACAACGTTCTCTGGATCACCCTTACTCGCGACGAGCCCAAGTCCCGCTGCATGGAGTGCGGTTCCGTATACGAGATGCACTACGTCGGCCCCCAAGAGGATGCTCACGGTCACAGCCACTCAGACCACCACGCCCACCCTGTGAACCCATACCCCAAGCCCAAGAACATGGCCGATTTCCTCAAGCCCGAATACCAGGAGCTATAAGATTGGACGACACCATATGACGCGTGTGCATTCATAGGGCCGCGAAACATGTAGCATAGTCGGTGTGAGAAGTATTACTTGAGTTAATCTGTGCATCTGGCCCTTCTTCCTCCTATCGCTCCATTTGCATTGGGCCGATCTTGCATTTCAGCCTCTCCCGTGCATGCATGACTCGGGGCTATTGCCTTGACAGTCCATGGTACCCCCGCGCCCGCCCCCTGCAAAGTGTTGTTGGTCTGGCTTATGGCTCACGACCCCTTCAAAGCAATAATACCGAGGATCACACTTTCCATCTTCGCTATCTCATCTTCCATCTTCTCACCATTACCATGTCCATCTACGATAGCACCCTTGCTCCCTTTCTTCCCTGCACCTGCGCCGTCTCCCCCACCCAGTTTATACACTTTCCTTATCTTTGCAACATCACGTGACATGGACAGCTGCTCCCCCGTCTCCCCGATATCCACACAAGCCCCCTCTATGACGCTTTCAAGATGTTTGCTCACACTTTCATTAGTGATTGATTCATCCTTTGAATAAACGCCTTCTGGGCCGGACGTTGAGAGAGGCAGCTTGACAGCGATGAGGGTGGTAGTGGTATCTGAGATGCCAAATTTCTTATACGACTCGCCAATATTGTTGTTGGGAGAAAGTCGGAATACCAGTTCCGAGTGAGGGGTGCGAGTCTTGGGGCGGGAGGTCAGGAAGTTGTGCAGAGCCAGGAAGGTAGCTGAGAGGAGGTGCTGCGGTGAGATGATCTGCCGTGGTAAATTAGTAGTGAAGCGTGCGTGTACGGTGGCTTCAAACGATGGTAGTCGGTAAGCGGAGGCAGGGTAGGGCCTCATAAGGATGAAGAGGAGACTATGCAGACGACGGAAACAGGACTGGATGCGGATGCCAAGTCGTTACAAGGAACCAGGTGTCACGGCTTCTCGTCACCGTTTTGTATACTAGTCTGCATCTTCGGGCAGACTTGCGTAGCAACAGCACCGTCAGGTGACCCGGCATCGGGGGCATCTCCGGTTACGACTCATTTCCACCATCTGAGGCTCTGGAATGATGAGGCGGCGTAGGGCGACGGAAAAAGTAACGCTGAGGATATGAGACAGGGTCCTACCATGGATGCATCTAGAAATGCATAGTCGAAATGCGGGTTGGCGTCGAGCAGCTGGCTGCGAAGGAAGGCGGCGTTGGCAACGTCGGTGAACAGGCCAACGTGCACGGGGTAAGCGAGGTAGTGTGGTAGGGTGAAGGTTCGCACTCGCACCGACACCATGGTAGGCGACTCGGATGTGTGTGATGTGCACTAGGGCGGGCGGGCAGGCCTATTTGGAAGTTTGGGACCGTCGCCTCCAGTGAATTTGGTCGTTTGAGTGCGCGGGCGGCGTGTACGATGTGCAGTGCCAATCTCCCAGGGTGGCAGCTGGGCAGATCGTGGTTGAGCGGTGCTAGCTACTAGCTGTTAGCAGACGTCTTGGGGCGCTGGTTCGAGCAGTAGCGGGGTGTGGCAAGCGCATTGTTTAGACCAGCATGGATAAGTGAGTGGTGAACGTCTACAACGAATCAGGGCAGATCTCCACGGCGATCCTTACAAGAACAAACTAAATTCGCCGAACTGTCAGGGCAGACCGTCGCAGCCTTTAGCGATGGGTTTCCCAGTGCTGGAGCGGAACCAATAAAGGGCGGGCACACTCGATCGCTCGAGGGCCTGCGGAGAGCGCGCCCGTGCCTTTTCAGCGTCGCCGAGGCTACGACATCGCGTTGGATCAAACAGCCTTTACTCCCGCAGCATCGCAACCTCACCTCTCGACAAAGCACCACCTTCTTGTTTGGTTTCTGTTGCACAGAGCCTACGCCCGTGTCGTGACGCTCGAATCCACAGCCCAAGGCTAGCGGCTATGCGTCTGGAGACTGACAGGTGATAGTCCAAGCCACCCGAGGCGTTTCCTGGGTTGCTCGCATCGGTCGTATCAAGAACCCACGGCATTTCCCGTCTCGTTCACGTCGACGTGCATCGCAAACGATGGCGACGAAACGACCCCCGGACGACGACCCAAATCTCATTCACAAAATACAGCGTATCGAACACACTGATGGCGCGAGTCCACAGCACCGTCCCGCCAACAATGACTTCTCTGGCTCCGTCAAGAAGAAGCTCGCCGATTCCAAGCGGACTGGTCAGGCGTGCGACCGCTGCAAGGTACGTAGTTGAAGTTGTAGTTGCATGACGCAGTCGACGATAGCACCTGCGCCCGGGAAAGAGCTACCATGGCGCCTTCCATGCGACCACAGTGTGTAGTCGTTCCTTCCACCACGCGACTCGAAGCCCTTGATCGCTCCTGCTGCGCGCACCACAGCACCATAAGCACACCAGGCACAGCTAACACGCCCGCAGATCCGCAAGATCCGCTGTGATGGCCGCCCCGAAGGCTGCACACCCTGTGAGCAGAACAGAACGCCCTGTCGCACCACGGACCGCATCACTGGACGCGCCACAGTACGCGGTCACGCCGAGGCCATGGAGTCGGAGAACTCATATCTGCGTTCGCAGATCGCAGATCTACAAGCCCAACTGAAAGAGCACAACATCGAGCCCCGCGCCCCTCCCGCCTACAACGCCTTGCAACCACCCAGCCATCCTTGGTCTTCGGTCACCAGCGAGAGCCAGCCCTGGACTGAAGGTCCGCGACAGACGAGTTCCTCGCCACTGCCCGGCTATGCTCCAGCGGGTGCCGCGGCAAAGAGCGAAACGCTGCCTCACTTCAAGCATGGCTCACTCGGCGACAATTACCTTGGCGTAGCTGCCGGCGATTCTCCCCTCAGCCACATCAAAGGCACATCTCTTTCCATCTTCGGCACTGAGATTGACATTACTGACTTCATGGCGGGCGAGACCGAGTACGAAGCCTCACCCATGTCCTACACCACCTTAATCAACATTGCCATTTCTGGTCAGCATGTCGACAGGATTGAGCTACCACCATACACCGAATTGTATGAGTACACCATATGGTATCTCCGGTCTTTGAATCCCTACACTATGCTCGTTCACAGGCCAGTTTTTCTGGATTTGGTATGACACACCCCTGCATATGCATTGTACACGACTGACGTGCCTAGATCTGGAAAATTGGCAACGATCCCAACTTCACGCCCACTGCGCCCGAAATCGTAACAGTGCACATGATGCTTGCGACCATCATGTATCAAATAGCGATTCGGAATAGCCAGCACAGCGGTAGCACAATGCTACAGGATTCGCATGCCCACTACCACTACGCTCTCACTTTCTACAGTAAGCTCATCCATGGCGACCATGGATGGCAGGACGTGCAGGCCTTGGCTATGATATGCCACCACTTGCGAACCTTTCCCAAACCAGGTGCAGCTTGGATCATGACGTCGACTGTCTACCTATTCGCTCTGCAACTCGGCCTACACAGGTCCGTCAAGGTATGGGCAGAAAACTCAGGGAAGCTGAGCAAGTTGGATATCGAAATGAGGAAGCGCGTTTTCTGGTGTCTCATGGCACTACAGGTCAATCTCAACGGAAAACTCGGACGTCCAATGCCGATTAGTAATGAGGACATGGACGTCGAGTTCCCCGAGCCAATGAACGACTGCATTCCCAGCGAGGAGGCCAAATATGACGCCTTCCATCAATGCTCTTTCCAGGTTGGCATCCAGGTTGCCAAATACACCGTTTTGGAACTAGACCTTTTCAAGTCCATCTACGCTGTGCGGCATTCACCAAAAGCATACCTGGACAGCTTGAAACGTCTCGAAGCTGGTATCCAGCAATGGAAAGACGAATTGCCTTATGAGCTGCGTGATCCGTCACGTGTGTCAGAAGACGATCACATCTTTTCCCTGTACCTGGAGTACTGGTATCAGGCGTATAATCTGCTCCTGCACCACCCAGGGGTTTGTCGGTCAACTGACGCGGCTGTTGTCAAATCGAACCTGGACAAGTGCTTGAACGCGTCACAGAGAATGCTTCACAACTGCACAGCGATGATGAACAAGAAGAGTCTCGACATTCCCTGGATCAACACTGTTGTCTACATCGCGGCTGCATTCACGACCTTGTTCATCTCGTCCATTCGACAGGACCAAATGTCGCCAGTGGATATGACAAAGCTCAAAGGCGATATGGCAGCCTGGGTCAATGTCCTTGGCGAGTGCGACCACTTCCTCGGGTCTGGAAACAGGTTGAAGCAGGCGATTTCAAGGATCGTCGATGGATCGCTTAGTAATATCAACGATAGCATCGTCAAACGCACTGCTACTGAGTCTCTTGCCCATGTAGCGCTGCAGGCTCCTCGTTCGAATTCAGTATCGACGTACGACAACAACACCTACCGCGACCAGTATGCGGCCTCCTCCAGCGGCCCTACAGATCCTACTCTTACGTCGCAGTCTGGGCCATACAACAGCATGGCAGTTGCTACACACTCATACCACATGGGAACGCCCATGACGATGCCTCAGCACACCAACAGGAATTATGAGCAGCAAACTTACGGCAGTGGCGACGAAGCAAACATGAATCCAAATCATGCAGCAGCACTAGCAGCAGCCTCGAGTAGTATCGCACAGCCTTCAACCAACGCCTATGCCTACAGCAATGCTCACATTGGCAACAGTAGCGTGTCCGCGTACAGCTACCCTGCCCAGGTATGGAGCAACTGGACACGAGCGTGCGTGCAACCCCCACAGGGTCAGCCCGGCGACTACCTCAATACAGCGACAACACTCATGACCCTGGGCCGGGATTCCGGATCCCACGCCTCTGGGAGTGACGGCCAGGGGCTTGTTCAGACATCCGGAGTTCCGGGTCACCCACCCCTTCACTGGCCCGAGATCTCGTTTCCCAACGCTGCAAGCGGGAATAGTTAAGTGTCTTACGAGCGAACGCATGCAAAGACTACTCAATCATACGAACATCTCATACGCGTCATGGACGAACAAAAGAATAGATGATATATTCAACGGATATCTACACGGTCCCGGATACATGTAGCATCGGGATCCACACCTAGCATTATTAGGTAGAGGAGCATTTTGGTCCTCGAACGGAGTTGGGGCCGTGGATTTTGCGATACCAGGAAAAGGGAAAATGGTTAATATGCGGATATTGTGCGAATCATGCACGCTATGGTAATTCTAATGTGGATTGTATGATATATGGGTACTATGCTCGGATCACGAAGCATGGTCATGGAAGCATATGTTAGGATATGAGGAAGAGACGGGTTAGTATACTGTCAACGTGTTGTCAGCGATGGAAGAAGCGGTCAGGAATCAGAGTAAATTATGCAACATGCTGGTGCAAATATTGGAACGTGCTTTGCCGCTCATGCCGCCTTTGCAGTTTTTGGTGTATTTTTGACCTCGCAGTCTGCCTAGTCCATTATTAAGACTGTCATTATCGGGCTTCTCACTTGTTTTCCTCCAATCTAATCGAAGATAAATGTCCGAGCCTTCGTGGGTGCGCAATATCCTTGCGCATTGAGTGGGGCGATAATCTGTTAACTAGGCTCAATGTGGAATGTTTCTAATCAACATGCGCGATCTTGGCTTCCTTCTCCCCACATGTTCAGCGGCTCTTGCCTTTCTTTCTACATGAATCCTTCGGGGTTTCTCTGCTTCCCATTCATGCTCTAATGTGACATCCAGGTAAAATTTGGAGAAGCTCCAAGGTGCTATCAAAGGATGAGTAAGATGACGACTCCTGGGCAATCGGCCGAGCTCTAGTTTATAGGCCCGGCCGCCGAGTGGACGACCGAGATGAGAGCGAGATACGACAAAGGCTTCTTGGAAGACTGGACGAGTAGGTACATAAGAAGTAGGATCTTACTGCCGGGGGTTCCTAGAGGTCGCGTTGATCATCTCGTGGCATTTGAGCAATCGTGTTGAGGCTCTACAGTTTGGCCTTTGCTGAAGAGCTCTTCGTCTTCCCATTCTCACTTCTCTCCACGTCGGAGCATCCCTCCCCCGAGGTTATACGCCATCGCGCCCTCTCAACATGCGGTACCTGTCATCAGTCGCAGCGCTCGCACTTGCGATGTTGCCTGGCTCGCATGCGAATTTTCTTCTCAAGCAGAGGGAGGCCGCTCTGAGGGCTGAACTAGGACTTCGTGCTGACGGTACTCCCCTCGAATCAGCATCTATCCATCGTCTCACCGCCAGAGACGACCCCGTCGTCCCGACGCAATACATCGAACTCCCGATTGACCATTTCGGCAAAAACAACGGCACCTTTCGCAATCGGTACTGGGTCAATACGGCCGGATATAAACCTGGCGGTCCTATCTTCGTATACGACATGACCGAGACGTCTAAAGACACAGACCCAGACTTAACTCTGGGCCCAAGGCTTCTAAATGACAATGCTGTCTTCAAGCAACTTATCCACGAGTTCAATGGCATTGGCATTCTATGGGAACATCGAGGATATGGGAAATCCTGGCACGTCCCCATCACCAATCGCTCAACACCCAGAGATCTTGAGTTTATAACGTTTGAGAATGCACTCGAGGATTTGGTCGTGTTTGCCGAGCAATTCAGCGTGAAGGGTATCAACGAGACTCTGACACCGGACCAAAGACCCTGGATTCATTACGGAGGCTCTTCGGGTGCCGTACGCGCTGCTGTATTGCGAAACAAGCGACCTGGTACCATATACGCAGCCTGGGCTTCTTCTGCTCCGTTGCAAAATGTGGTTGACTTTAATCAATACTTTGACGGAGTCTGGGATGGTATGGTAGCCTTCGGTTTCGGCAACTGTACACAGGATATCAGGGCTGTTGTGCGGTACGTCGACCACGTTCTCGACACTGGGAACGAGGATGAAAAAGCCAAGCTTAAAGCGCGTTTCCTCGGATTGAGTGGAGCCCACAATCCAGATCGACTTTTTGCTGAAACCTGGAACTCCTTGACCCTCGACTACCAGGGCCAAGGTATGGACGGCTCAAGTCTTAGTCTTCGCGACTTCTGTGATCACATCTCCACGGATCCGGCGACGAAGCAAGTCGCACCAAAGGAAGGCTGGGCTGCTACCAAGGGCATCGAATGGACACTGTCGAAATGGACGGAATACACACCATATCTAGACCAGGTCAACACATTCTTCAACACCACGTGTACGGGTAATGACACGTTAACCAACGACTGCACTTTCGACCAAGGCCTCACCGATCCGGGCAGTGTCGTGTATATGTGGCAGACTTGCACGCAGATCGGCGCGTTCCAGGGTGCCAACGTTGGTGACAAACAACTCATCCCCAAGGCCAACACGCTTGAGAACATGCTCGAGCAGTGCAACTATCTATGGCCAGATCGACAGGGCATCCTTCCCGTCCGACCCAAGTCCGACGAACTCAACCGCTATACCGGTGGCTGGCACATTCGCCCCGCCAACACGTTCTTCACTTATGGCGAGTATGAGCCTTGGCTGCCTCTTGGCATTACATCCAAGCGACCAGATGCGCCCAAGAATGTGACGATTACCACGGAGATCCCAAAGTGCAATGTGCCTGATGAACACAGGGTCTTCGGTTCGATTCTCAAAGACCAGATCCATTGTTACGATGTCATTAGTCGGATCACCAACCCTGTGGTATTGGAAGCAAGGGCACTGTTCAAGCAAGCACTGAGGCAATGGCTGACCTGCTTTGTGCCCAAGAAGAAGCACCAAAAGAAGTGGATCTCGTAGGTTGGTAGCTTAGCTGCATAACTGTACATAGTAGAAAGTGGGGGATAGATGAGGAAATACGATAATAACCTAGAGTTTGGCAACCTCCCTCCCCCGTTTCTCCCACTCCCAAACCTCGCCTGTAAACCTATTATTCTCCCACTCTTTATATATCCTCTTCTTATCCCTATCGTCATTGGTACCACACATCCTTGCCCAAACTTCTAGTTGCTCGGTAAACCCGACATTGGGCTCGCAAATCGGTCGTCCCTCACACAACTGCCGCAGCGCCTGCGCGGGGGGAACCCCATGTTTCCGGATGAGGTAGGCACAGACTAGAGTTGCGGATCGGGATTTTCCCATTGCGCAGTGTACGAAGATTGCGCCGGGTTTTGAATTAGGGTTGGTGGGGTGATCTAGGGCAGACTCTATGAACCGGATGCCAGCGTCAAAGTATTGGAGAAGGTTTTCGTTTGGGTGATCTTCTGCTCTGATGTGGAAACTAATACTATTTATTAACATGCACATTCCCTCTACCTTTCTCTCCCACGTCCCCCTTCTTCTCTACACACCCATCCCGCACAGACACAAACAGATACAAGAATAAACTCACTGTTCCAACCCCTTCAACTTGTCACCAACCAAAACCTCATAATCAATCACACTCAACACATGAGTTATATTCGCTGCTTCTACTAGATCGGTTTGATAGAGAGCGTATAACCCGCCGATGTAGAGGCGAGAGCTTGTGTTGGGGACTAGGTCGAGCCAGCCCATGCCGGTGTGGGTGGTGCTGCCGTGGAGGAGGTAGGACATTCAAGTGATAGTGGAGAAGCGCTAAGACTTGTCTGGAAGGATCTTGGAGTTTGCTGGATAGTTCACTCTTTTGCCTTTGTTGGCGACTATATGAGGTGTCTAGTTGTGGTGGGGTGTTTGCTGTGCTGTAGTGTACAGGTGTTGATGTTTTGGGTGGGAGAAAAGAGCCGAGGTACGATTGCGACGGCCCCACTTTTTTTTTGCGGATGGAAGACCGGTGGCTTTCTAGTTCTTCCACTGTGCTTCTACGGTATATTTGCCAGTAGTATCGTGGTAACACAGTCCGATGTCGCTCTCACTTTGGGATTACTTTTTTTCTTCCATTTTCATTGTGTTTTGCACAATTAACGCCTCGCTACATAGCGCTTCCTCCCTTTTAGAACGAATAGGTTCATTTTCAGGTTACGAGGAGTTAGACTTGCTTTCCGGTAGACTTTCTTCTCCAACTGTTTCCCATGGTCGGGCTTCAATCCCCTCTTTTCGGTGGTACTTTAGGAGAGAGTTTGGTGGTCGAGATAATTCTCAAGATGGTCTAGTCTTGTCGATTGGGTCTCGAACTATCTGAGCTTTTATCGAGAGAGGTATGGTATACGAGACAGGAACATGATTTCGATTCACAACTTATGTGCTGGTTGGTGCAGTTTCGATATAGACGCCACGAAGGGACTTTTTTCATGCTAATGTATCAACGTTGGGAGGGCTGAACGATAGGGGAATTGCAATTTGCATATAGTTTTGTGCGATAAGACACTTTTATATTTGCAGGTGAAACGACAGCGCGACGTTCACTGATATCTTACAATCTGACCATCTGGAGATGGATCAAGATTCAAAGCATCATACACATTAGCATTAGAGCTTGGCAGGTACAAGATGGCGTTTCACATGCCCCTGTCCCTTTATTTTTCTTCTGAGGAAAGACAAAGTCGATTCCAGTCTCTATACCCAAGTAAATAGCAGGCTACGGGAGAAGAGACGCCACGACGGCACTTCATGTTCAATATGGTGTAGTGAAGTTTAGCTGCTACTTTGGCTCTCGTATTTGCTTAGCGAAGTAAGCGGGGCCGGGGCTGCGCCCAACGTCGCGAATGATGTGGTGCGAAGAGCGAAGAAGCCAAGTGAGGTTCTGGCGGCTAAATCAGATTATCAAGCATGATGTCGGTCGATCCGTAACAACGATACGAAGTTTGCCGGTCAGGCGACATGTGAAAGGGTTTGCAATTGGCGCATCACCAGCAATCCCAAGGTCCTGGATGCAATGGCTAGACACAAACAAACAAATAGCGCGCATAATGGCATGGGTATCCAGAAACAAAGTGAATTGTGACGGCAGCATTCCAGGGCAGTTCAACAATGCGCAAGGAAGCAGGCGGGGCGAGAGTGCTCGATGCAGGGTTGTCCAAAGATAGCCGGTTAGCGCATATTATCGATAGTGTGGGCTGCCCAGGTACTAGCGATGCAGGGTGGCAATGGCAGCAGCGTGACAGCAGGACTGGGACTGTCAGATATCCGGAAGGAGGTGTGGATGGTAGTCGAGAGCGGCTAACAAGACGCCATGTTCGTATCCAAGACTTGGACAAGGCTCGATGGAGCGAGGTAAAGGCGATGTTCCATGACCGCAAACTGGCAGGTAGCATGTCGGTTTTAGCGCCGGAGCGCCGCCTGCGCCCCAGTCCCATTCCAGTCCCGTTGGCCTGAGGCGTGCCTCGATTGCCCCTTCTTCAAGAGGAGCCTTGTTTCCCAGCCCTGCTCTCATTTCACCCCCCCCTCCCATCGCTGCATTCGCTTTTCCCTAGGGACCACCTTCGCTCTACTAACCCTAAGCTTAACTTAAACCTTGGCCGTTGCCATTCACACTCGCTACAAACTAACGCCGTCGTCTACGCGCCTGTACAAGCAGCCATATCCCTACCCGGCTTGGACGTGTCACTTCATTAACGACGACAAGTGCGGCCGACGCTGTGGTACCCCATTCTCTTGACTGCTCCACTCAACCTCACACGACATCCGGTTACCGACAGAATCTTGCCAAGCCATGGTTCGGGGTGTCATCTCAGCCGCCGTCGCTGCGGCCGCGCTCGCAGGCACAGCTCTTGCCGGAGCAAAATGCACAAAGGATAACCACTGCCCTCAGGATACTCCCTGCTGCTCTTGTGCGTGTCGGTCGATATCATGACATTGGATGCGCTGCTAACAGTCTCACAGTGTATGGCGATTGTGGTGTCGGTGCTTTCTGCCTCGGTGGATGCGACCCGCTCATGTCGCACTCGTTCGACTCGTGCGTTCCCGGTCCCGTATGCAAGTCGGGGAAATACAGCCTCGACAGTCTCGACGATGTTCAGACCATTGACAACTACCTCGGCGATGCATCAAAAGTCAACTGGCAGTCGCAGGGCAAGCCCACCATCTACACCGACCCCAAGAATGGAGAGAAGTCGACCCTCCTGACCATGGCACAGGGTACTGTGGGAACCCTGTTGGCGTCGACATATTACGTGTGGTACGGAAAGATTTGCTCCAAGATCGGCTCAGCCCAGGGCAAGGGCGTCGTCACGGCCTTCATCCTTATGTCGGATGTCAAGGACGAAATCGACTACGAATGGGTTGGTGCCGACACTGCAAATGTCCAGTCCAACTTTTACTCACAGGGTGTGACAGTGTGTAAGTTAGCCCTGCATGCACCTCAGTCATGGAACAAGACTAATGCCAAATCAGACACAAACGGCAAGAACCTCACTGTACCTGACGGTAACACCGTTGAAGAAATGCACGAATACTGCATTGATTGGTCCGAAGATAGTCTCATCTGGTCTATCAACGGCGACAAACAACGCACCCTGAACCGCAAGGACACCTGGAACTCAACCTCGAGACGCTTCGACTACCCACAAACACCTGCGCGTATCATGCTTTCCCTCTGGCCTGCTGGTCTTCCCACCAACGAACCAGGTACCGTCGCCTGGGCAGGAGGAGAAATCGACTGGAACTCACCCTACATGATCAACGGATACTACGCCGCACGTTTCCAGGAAGTCACCGTCGACTGCTATGACCCACCATCCGGCGCCCAGGTCAAGGGCAAGAAGACGTACAAGTACACAGACAAGGCTGGTACCAACAACACCGTCGCCATCACTGATGACTATGTCGTTCTGGGCTCACTCATGGGTACTGGTGAGAACCCAGGAAAGCCGATCAAGAGCGGCGACCCTAAGCCAACACAATCCGTCGCCATGGTTCCTGGTGGTAACCCCGGTGGCGGTGCAGGTCGAGAAGTCGAGACCTCTGGTGCTGCTGCTCAGGGTGGTTCGGGCGCACAGCAAACAGCTGCTGCCGGCAACGGCGGTAGCTCCTCAGGCCAGTTCATCCAGGGCGGATCCAGCAATGGCGGCAGTACCGGTGCTGCAACTGTTGTCCAGCCTGGTCTTGGTCGCATGGGCGGTTCAATCTGTGCCATTGTCGTTGCCATTCTCGGCTTGATGGCATTGTAATCGCATTCTTGATTCTTTGTTTCCTTCCCGTTCTGGTTCCCGTCTGGAGTTTAATACCTTGCTCATTGTTTTTTTGGAGCTCTTCGGCGCAAATATCCCTCTACCATCCACAGCCGCCCATGGCGCTGTTCATTTTCTCTTCTCTTGTATAAATTTTCTCCTTTTCGTATCTCTTTATAATCTCTTTCTTG